TGTGTGTGTGTGTGTGTGTATATATGTATATATATATGTATATATATATATATATATATATATATTATATATATATATATATATATATATATATATATATATATATATATATATATATTATGTATATGTATATTATATATATATATATATATACATATATATATATATATATATATATATATATATATATATATATATATATATATATATATATATATATATATATATATTATATTATATATATTATATATATATATGTATATACATATTAAATATATATTATATATATATATATATAATATATATATATATATATATATATATATATATATATATATATGCATATATACATATATATATATAATATTATATATATATATATATATATAATATAGATAGATAGATAGATAGATACAGATACGAATATATATATATATATATATATATATATATATATATATATACATATATATATATATTATATTCCAATGCAGTCATGATACATGTGTTTTTAACTCATTCACGGGAATAATCCACAATGTTTGATTCCCTTGCAAAATGTAGAGGACACATCAGCTGTCCCAACACGTGTTAAATTCTCTCTGTTGAGCGATCGAATCCGACACAGAGTCACGACAAATGCAGGTAGATGGACCCAAGATCTGGCTCAGGTGGCCATGTGAGCGAGAATATTATTAGACGAAATTAGAGACAATTACCAGCTTCTTTAATTCCAAGACGAAATGGAAGGAACACTTCTTCAGTCAGCAGCTGGAAATATGGATGCATTTATGTATAACCAAATTTAGGTATAGCCACATTGTGGATTAAAGTGTTTTGACTTGGAATTCAGGCAAGAAGATCGAGACATCGTGAGAGAGAAGAGGTCAAACCATAACAGACCCCTCAGTCAGGTGTACAGCATACCTTGTGGGGCTGTGATAAGGTATACATAGGCGAGACATCACGAGGACTGCACGAACAACGTATCAGTCAACACCGCAGCGCTCTCCGACGCCATGACACGAGAAGCGCCTTCGTTGTTCACGCAGACACCGATGGTCACCTCCCGAAGTGGTCCAGGCCTCCATCATAAAGCAAGGGGGGAGAGGGAGGGCGGGTGGCGGGGAAGGGAGGGAGAGATGGGAATGGATTGAGGGAAAGAGAGATAGAGAATCTCATTTTCAAACAGCATTTTTTCCTGCATTCCTCTTCCGGTGTGTTACATAGCGATGGCGCCCCCAACCTCCGACCCTATTCATGAATTCCGTTTGTGTATAAATGAGCCTCATTTTTTTCTCTCTCTCTCTCAGAAATAAGAAATTAGATCTGATGCTTATTCTCTTTTTACAAAACAAGGAGGCTGGGCCATTCACTATGCTGTCCGCACCAGGAACCTCAATATAGTGCAGGAGCTTATCAATGCTGGAGCAAGCATAGATCAGGTGTGGATAACAATAGTAAGCTTAATGCGTCGAACAATTGGTCAAATTCAATGTATATAGTGACAGTGGTAGTTATTGTTATTGTTATTGATATTATTATTATTATGATAAATACTATAATTAATATTATTACTATTATTTTACGTTCAGATATCACGTTTTCAAAATCAGTTTTAGACATGTTCTAACTTTTGTATTACCTGTAGACAACCTTAAGTTTCATATTATTTGTAGACAATTTTTAACATTATAATTCAACATTCTAATTTTTGTATCAATTTTAGACAGAAAGAAAATATTTGTGCTGTTTTTTTTTTAGACCTTTTAATGTTGTATTAATTTTTCGATAGCTTCATTTCTCTATCATTTTTTTTCACATATCCTTTTATTTTTTATCCCTTTAGGTATTGTAACTTTGGTATCCATTGTCCTCAGGTACGACGGCCCTGAATCTCGCGACGCAATCGGACCAGCTGGAGGTTGTGAGGTTTCTCGTTGGTGGCGGAGCGAGTCCCTACATTCGCGAGAGAGCAGGTTCGAGGGCCAGTTGGGAAACACTCCTCCTCCTCCTTCTTCTCAACCTCTTCCTACGACTTCCTCATCCGCCTCCTCCTCTTCCACTTCCTTACTCCTCCTCCTCCTACTCCTCTCCTCTCCCTGAAACACTTCTCCTCCTCTCTACTCCTCCTCCACCTCCACCTACTTCCTCTCCACCACTCCTCCACCCACCTCCCTTCCTCCTACCTCTCCTCCTCCCCTCCTCTCACCTCCACCTCCTCCCTCCTCCACCTCCACCTACTCCCTCCTCACCTCCTCTCCCTCCTCCACCTCCTCCACCTCCACCTCCTCCTCACCTCCTCCTCCACCTCCACCTCTCCTCCACCTCTACTCTCCCTCCTCCTCCTCCTCCACCTCCTACTCCTCCTACTCTACTCTCTCCACCTCCCCCTTCTACTTCTCCCTCCACCTCCGCCTTCTCCCTCCTCTACCTCCACCTGCTTCCTCCTCCACCCCCTCCCCCCTCCTCCTTCTGAACATTCTAATACCATTCTCCG